GTTGCGAGCGCGCTCGCTTCCCAGGAGCGAGGGAACATGGGGTTCCCAACGGGGGGTCGTCCTACCTGTTGTTGTAGATGCCCGAGGTATGTCGGGGCACCAGGAACTTCCTGTCTAGGGTATACCTGGTTCCCGACTATTAGTACCCAAGACGGCGTGCGGTTTTAGTCGGTTCGAGTCCGACATTGCCACCGATATGTGGTTTCCGAGGGGAGGGCGAAAAAAAAAAAAGATGAAGGTTACAGTAATCGATTAATGCTCGATTGAAATTGAACATGAGAACTCTTGCTCTCTAAACTCTAACTCTTGCTTCTAACAGGCTCTTGACTTGTTTTTACACGCTTTTTATAAGCTTCACCTATATATTTGTTTGGAACCGACTCCTTGGGCGTGACTTTGACTGACTTTAAACGGTCACAATTCGTTCAAACTTTGTAGATAAATCGAGGACCGATGACAATACACTAATTTAAAAAAAATGGTTTTAAAAAAAGAAAATAAATTTTAATAAATTTTGAAAAAAAAGCATTGGGTGCATGTTGTCAATAGTAGAAAGCACGCCTGCTTTTTTTTGGTTTTGGTTTTCTATAAAAAAGCGTGTTTTTTAGTTGGTAAATGTGCTATCAACAATAGTTTAATTAATATAAATCAAACAGATTACTAATACCAGACGGGTTGGTATAGGGTCAGTTTCAAGTTTTCCTTCTCTTTGCAGTGCTATTTAAAAATGTGGTACATTATAATTATTATTATAAATTATTAATTCTCAAAGTAATACTACATTAATAAAATACTCCTCAATAAATACGACCGCCTTCTGAATAACTGCATTCGATTCGTCTTTAACCTTCGCAAATCCGACCATGTTTCTTCCTCTCGTCGTGAATTGAACTGGCTCACGAATAGTCAGCGCCGTCAGCTGCACGCCCTCACCACCCTCTATTCCATACTCAACTCACCTATTTCCCTTTCCTACCTAACATTCTCATTTCATTTTCCTATGTGCCAATCACAAACAGAACTCTCCGTTCATTAAACAATCCACTTCTGTTATGCCCCACTCATACTTCCGCATGTGTCCACTCTTCGTTCTTAGTCCAATCTGTCCTCCTCTATAACGCTCTGCCTTTGGAAATCAGGATAGCACCCAGTCGCCTCTCATTTAAGACGAAAGTCCGAGCTCGAATTCTCGACACTTTAGCAGACTCATCACATCCTTAAAGTCTTATACGTTATTATGTTAGTCTTGTATGTATTACTCAGCAAGTATATATATGTATGTGTATCTCAGTATGTATGTAACCTAATTTTAATTTCATGCACCTACTCAGACATTTCCCCACCACCCAAAGGTAGACTGGGAGAAAATGCCTTTGGCATTAAGTCCGCCATTGTACTTTGTTTGTGCAAAAAGAATTAAAAAAAAAAAAAAAAAAAAAAAAAACTATACCGATGTACTGGAGACGCATACATGCAAATATTTGCCAGTTCTTTAAACTGCCAGTACGTGCTACAAATTAAATATCACAAGTACATAGGGACCTGGACAGTATAGCAAATAAATGTATAGCTAATATAAGCTATAATGCGACCAGGTCAAGGTCGATTACCTGTAACTTGATCTACCTGTTCTGCGAAGTCAGTTCTCTGGCATGCACATTCATTTGCATTTCATAACCATCATAATATCATTTTAACTTATTCCAAAGAAGTTTGCATTGCATATTACATTATTTACTTCCGTGACAAAAAAAAGCCATTCCAAGTATTTATTATTTTACACTTTTTTTTTTGTTGTCGGGGTGGAAAACCCCGTCGGATCTCTGACTCCTTGGGGATGTAGGAGCCAGGAGTATGTGGTGTTTCCACTAAAAACCAACCGGACGGCTATATTCAGGCGCCCTACTCCAAACAGGACCCGGACCATATTATTTAAGGTCCGCCATCCTAAAAATTTCACTAGTAAAGAATATTCCAGTAAGTGCTTTTAGTTATCCCTAGAAACTTTGATTTTGTGCATGAACCTTGATGTACACCGTAAACCAATGTCTAAAGATGTGATTTCGGTCGTTTTCAGCCATTTTAGTAAACATCGTGGTAAAACATAATATACACGCTGGGTACATCGTAACGAATAGGTACTGAAATTGTGTATTCAGATCATCATTCTGAGTCTAAAATCATTGGAACTTCTGCCGGAAAATTAAACTTTTTATGCAATCAGCTGTCAAAGGTAAAGGTATTCCCCGTAGGTATTGCGCAAAAGTAATAACTACATGTGTATTCCGCGCAAACAGTCTACGCACACTAACACAAGTCGGCGGCGGAAGGGGAGGCCCGCGCGCTTTGGCTGTTTGATTAAAAATTACATTGCAGTTTTTGACCGTATGCGGTTATTATTTATTTATTTTCGGTGAAATGTTCTGTTTACTCATTGTGATATAGATTTTAACCAAAAAAAAAGGAAAATTATAAAAAAATGATTAATCTTCCGGCAGAAAATTTCCAATGATTTTCGACTTAAAAGCATGGTCTGAATACACTATTTCAGTATTCGTTACGATGTCCCTTACACCCTGTATATTTATCGTGAAATAATAAGAGACGCTAAAATTACTTCTAAATCGTTGTCATAGAAAGTATTTGTAGTATACAAGAAAATTCTGTTAGAAGGACATCCCTGACAAATAGTTTAACAATAATTAATTAATTGTCGCCTTATAATTCCATATATATGTATATTAGGAGGTAACAGTATTGGTGTGGGAGTTCTCTCGCTCGATAGCCTGATTGCGGCTATCGTGCGGAGCGAGAGTGCGTGGAACTCTGCCGCCTCTTTCTGCGAGCAACTTATGCTCGCGAAGGAGACGGCGGAGTGGGACCGGGAGAGGTTTAGGGCTCTCCCGGCCCGCCAGGCCCGGGATCGGGCCAGGTACCGCAGATGACTCAGGCGCCGGAGGTCGCAGAACGACCTCCGTCCTGGGGGTGACAGGTTAGGCCATCTGTCACCCTAGCAGAAGCAGGCCGGGGTGGTGGCGAGCGCGTTGCGAAGCGCGCTCGCTTCCAGGGAGCAGAGGGAACATGGGGTTCCCACACGGGGGGGTCGTCTACCTGTTGTTGTAGATGGCCCGAGGTATGTCGGGGCACCAGGAACTTCCTTTCTAGGGTATACCTGGTTTCCCGACTATTAGTACCCAAGACGGCGTGCGGTTTTAGTCGGTTCGAGTCCGACATGCCACCGATATGTGGTTTCCGAGGGGAGGGCGAAAAAAAAAAAAGATGAAGGTTACAGTAATCGATTAATGCTCGATGAAATTGAACATGAGAACTCTTGCTCTCTAAACTCTAACTCTTGCTTCTAACAGGCTCTTGACTTGTTTTTACACGCTTTTTATAAGCTTCACCTATATATTTGTTTGGAACCGACTCCTTTGGGCGTGATTTTGACTGACTTTAAACGGACAGAATTCGTTCAAACTTTGTAGATATATCGAGGATCGATGAGAATACACTAATTTAAAAAAAATGGTTTTAAAAAAAAAAAATAAATTTTAATAAATTTGAAAAAAAAGCGTTGGGTTCTCATGTTCTCATGTTGTCAAAAAAGAGTTCTCATGTTGTCAATAGTAAAAAGCACCCCACGCTTTTTTTTTAATTTTTTTAAACTATTTTTTTAAGAGTTGGTAAATGTGCTATCAACAATATCTTTTTTTAATTAATATTAAAACAAACAGATTAAGTCAGATTAGTTTACGATCTTAGGAACTCTTTGGAATCAGTTACAGAGTCTTATTGTCCGGCAACAGTCAATTTGAGTAGCGGGTATGAAAACCCGATTTGCTCGAGCTGTTTACATTCCAAAATTCATCTGTAGTAGCAAGAATCCTTTCTTATATTTGTTTTTTTTTTGGTATAAGGGGGCAAACGAGCAGACGGGTCACCTGATGGTAAGCAACTACCGCCGCCCATGGACACCTGCAACTCAAAAGTGACAAGTGTTTTAAATTCATTCCTTTACTGTCAATATTCTCTCAATTTCTTACGCGCTCTGTTGAAGGCCACTTGTTTCTATCACGTAAGTGGAATACAGACTTATAGTTGCTCAGAATGCGAGTATTTAATACGCCTCCATCTACCTTTTATGGTGGGGATATGGTGGTCAGTGAGTAATTACTAGTAATATTTTCTCGTGACATAAAAATTTGCAACATCTGGTATTACGGCCAAGTTTCATACAAGTCTAACTGATAGAACAACTTTTTCCTGAAGCATTTTTCGCATAAATAAAGGTTTTTTAATCAACTTAGGTATCCTGCAGAAAAAAAAACATATTTTACTGCATGAAAAATACATACCATAATATGCTTTGTGTAACCCTAACAAAAAGTGTGCAGTAAAATTTTATGATAAGGGGTTGTTGGATAAATAGAAAAAGTGGGACAGAATTACAAAAGTATTCAAACCATTAGTTACGATGAGGATATAAAAGCAGATAGTAATCTACCGTCTCGAATGAAGCCAGCTCAGACATTGAGACAGCGCTTAACACTAATCATGAACACGGCCATAGAACTCAGCTGCTTGAACAAAATATATTTTTATTATCAATAAAATTTTCTACATACTTCTTCTGAAACTTCCAAAAGGCAACTGTCTGCTAAGAAGCCTCAAGAAACTCTCTTAGGATAGTCAGAACTTAGTCTAGACACTAATGTTAGATATCCTCTTCTAATCAGATTACTTGGAAACGCCCTGCATCCACAGTAGCTTGCCATCTTTATAAGGTCATGTTTTGGACTAGACATTATAAGGCCCATTCTTCGTGGACAAAAAACTACCATTTTGGTGGTCTCCAGGAAATGTTGGCTCTAATAGCCATCTGTTATTCCACCCATGTGCTCTGCCCACTGATACCTAGACCTGCTGATCTTCCAGTTCGATGCTGTTAACTTCGGAGAACATTGTATAGGTTTGCAGTAACAAGTTTAATAAGTACTTACGTTTTCATTATTGGTGTCTGTCATGGCGACGATGGCCATGCTCATGTTGACTCTCATGCTGTATGCGAAGAGCATCGCAAGGAATAGTAAAGCCACTTGGATATGACGTATGCCCAGCTTTGACTCTGTAACAGACATGTAAAAATTCTATACACTGATGAACATAGGCCTCTCCTATTGCACGCAAGTTCGATCGATTTTCTGCTTCCAACTCCTGCCAGCCATCTTGCGCAAATCGTCACTCCTGCCCAGTGGGCGTCCTACACTACGTTTGCCTAGACGTGGTCTCTACTCAAGAACTCGTTTACTCCAGGGGTGGTCGGTTCTGCAGCTAATATACCCCACTGCTACTTCAGCTTGCTAATCCGGTGGGTTATGTCGATGACCTTGGTCTTCTACCGGATCACGGCATTCCTGCTACTGGCTATATATCTAATATTCTATCTAACGTTTCATTTTCCATTATCATCATTATATCATCATTATATGATAAAGATGTAGATAAAGAATTCTCTCGTATAAATGTATACAAATATGTAGTATACAAAACCTAAACGTTTGTAAACATCGTTTGAACTTATTTGATATAATTTGTGTTCATTAATTAATAATTAATCATCCGATCAAACTGTTTGGTGTAATTTATAGTGTATTAGGCATAAAAAAACCTAAATCGGCTTCTAAATAACGAAGTTCTGGTGTAACTAACATAAAAAAAGTGTGTGTGTGCAATTTACACACGGCAGAAGTGACAGTTCCGAATTTTTTGTTTTTATCTTAGAAAAACCCTATTACATGTTGACCGGCCTGGGAATAAAACCCACTAAGGCAGTGTTTTTCAAATTCCACGCGAACGGGTACCAGCTAGTATTGAATAAAAAGATAAAAATATTCACACTGTCAAAATATAATATTAAAAATAATGTGTAATGTATTCCATCTCATTCTCTCGCCGACTTAGTCCTATACATTTATGTGTTTGTTTCTTTATCGTGACGCATTTTCGTTTCACCGAGTTTCAAATCACAACAATTCTAAAGAAGTTTCGCTTAAAAAATAAAACCGAATTGTGTGAAAAGTTGGTTCATTACAAAATGTCGGCAATTACACTCTGCAAGATTTTATTTTTCTGTACGTTTTCCTTAAGCCATAACGAGGCAGGTATAAGAAGTTGTTTTAATGAGAACATCTGTGTTTACCTGTTATACTCATAAGCATATCAAAATTTCCACAATTTGAGAAACGCTAATAAGTTAAAATTTACTAGGTTGTAATACTTAACTGATAGGAGGCATAACATATATATAAAGTGAGTTCGTTTGTTTGTTACTTTTTGACACATAAACCACGAAACCTTTTTTTGAAATGAAACTAACGTTCACAAACCTAAATTACCTATTTCCAATACAGACGGAGATAAAGGCCCTCGACCCACTTATCCCTAAACGATTTATTACATTTACATAATGTTCCAAGAAACGGCCTGTTTACATCTTGGAGTGAGACACTTTTGTTTAAGTGTAATGAAAAGGAATATTATCTGTTTGTTCTGTGCCTTTTTAATATTTTACAGGTGTTCTTTAAATGTGTTTCTCATTGTCTGATGTACGTATTATTTTTCTTTCTTAAGAATTGTTACTTAATCCATACTTATATCATATATGTGAAAGTGAGTTTGTTTGTTTGTTGAGTTTTCACGCCTAAATCAATAAAAAAGGAGAAGCCCACAATGTTAGCTTTTTCCGCGGCTCCGCCCGCGCGTATGTCGGTTATCACGGTAAAAATTAGCCTATGTTACTCGCTTGTAGAAATCACTTCAATTTTTTTTTTTTTTTTAAGTTCTGTTTCGTGGTTTAGGTGTGAAATTGCCTCACCAGGGACTTCCTTTCTAGGGTATACCTGGTATATTAGTACCCGAGACGGCGTGCGGTTTTAGTCGGTTCGAGTCCGACATGCCACCGACAAGTGGTATCCGAGGTCATTTCCGCACGGAAAAAAAAAAGGTGTGAAATTGCCTATTGCCATTGCCTAATGGTCTTAGACCATTAGGCAATGGCAATAGGCAATTCATCAATGTTTTCATAAATGTGTAACTGTCCATGCATATGCAATGTAATTTAAGAGGGCAATAATATAATGTGTAAACGTACTAAGTTTGAACAGAAGCCGTCAAATATACATATATTCATACAAGACACAGTGTCATATACTGGTGCGATTAAAAAAAAATGACTGCCATAAACAAATGCGTACGATTAGGTATGTGAAAGAAATGAAATGCTCAGTACAGCCGTTCTAAAGTCATTCGTACTTATTTTGACTAGTATTAGATGTAAAAAATTATAACAAAAAGGCGGATGTGTCGGTTAATTGCAGACTGACCTCGTCATATTTGCAAGGTCTACTTGTCCTACTGGCTCAGTAAAATCAATACAATAGATGACATTTGAAAATAAAACTTATTGAACAAACAATAAATTCTAATTACGAACGTGTTTCATAATTAAAATATGTTTTAGTTTCTAAATTTAAAAACAATAGCATAAATTATAATTCATAGACAAAAAAAAAAAAAAAAAACAAATAATTAAAAGTTTTATATTTTATGTTGTTTTCGTTTTAAACTCACAAACCGTCGTCTGATTCCAAACAAAAAACAAATCTCAAACCTACAAATCTAATTAGACGGTGTTTTTCCGTTATATGATATTTGTTTGTCCCTGTGGTGGGTCATAGAGCAGTGCACTATTAAAGGCTATTGCTGATAAAGATAATATTTGTTCAGAGTAGGAATCAAACACACGACCTATAGTTCAGCAGTCAGAATTACTAATCTAAAGTAAATAGAGCAACAGGCTTGTCAAAATGAATTGCCTTACATACTCATCAACGCATATCTGTCAAATATTAGATTAACTTTCTCAGTAAGACAAAAAAAGTCAGATGCAATCAAAAATCCATCACACAAAAGAAGATCTATCGATTACGTAGATGCCAGCTATCCTGACCTCGCCGAGGACCCCTCACCGAGGACCCCTCACCGAGGTCTGGATAGCTGGACAACGCCCGCACTAGTAATATAATCCTGTGTCGCGGGGGACTTTTACAAACACACATGAAATGGACACAAAGAACACCCAGACTCAGAACAACAATTTGTTGATCACACAAAGTGTAGTCCTATGTGAGGATCGCATCCACAACACTCAATGCAGACCTTGTAATGTCAGGTCCTCCACGAATCAACATCACACCTAACCAAGCCCTATCCCGGGGAAGCCGCAACCTTCCCTCTCTCAATTGCAGCGTGGCGGCCCGATCGCGTCTTAATGCGATAAGGCCGCCATCCTATCTCCCACCGCAGTAATTAATCTGCAACAAGAGGTAGCCCAAACAATTAATAGCTCTCTGGCAGCCCACGACCCTTATAGTCATATCTATAATCTAGATCCTGATGCTGTAAAGTGTCTTTAGGGAAAAGAAAGCTTGGAGTTTCAAAGTGAAGTAAATTTCTCCAAGAAACCAGATGTTTTTTTACTTTGAATTCCGTTTGTAACTTTTATAGAAAACTGAATATAGAAAGTATGATTTAAAGTTTTTTGCAGTTTATTTAGGGCACGATTCCAGAGGTTTTGATTAACTTCAACCGAGAAAAAGTAAATTGTGTAAATGACTTTATACGTTTCTAACTCCACATAAAATATAAAAAACAAATGTAGTTTGTAGTTAAGATTTAATTAACGTTTTGATATAGCATTTTAAAATTATTTATCTTGACATATAATTTACTTGCCCTGACTGATTCATCAACGCAGTCTAAACTGATGGGGCTACAAACCTGAAATTTTAGCAGCTGATGCATTTTATGTTGTTAACACAAACTAAGAAACGAATTTTTGGAAATTTCACCCCTAAGGGGGTAAAATATGGGATGAACGGTTGCATAGAAGTTCGGTATTTATTTATGTTAGAAACACGAAATAAGAAAGTATCACGCGAGTGAAGCCTCGCTCAAAATATCCAAAAGGATTTGGATAAGAAAATAAGTCTATTTTTACAACCTTTTATTAACTTGCAATGTACGTAACTATGTTTGTTCGGGGGGAATTTTGCCGGCGAGCGCATTGAGAAGCGCGCTCGCTTCCAGGGAGCGCGCTTGCACATGGGGTTCCCACACGCGGGGGGTCGTCTACTCGTCTGTAGATGGCCCGAGGTATGTCGGGGCACCAGGGACTTCCTTTCTAGGGTATATCTGGTTCCCCGGCTATTAGTACCTGAGACGGCGTGCGGTTTTAGGTCGGTTCGAGTCCGACATGCCAGCGATAGGTGGTATCCGAGGGGATTTCCGCACGGAAAATAAAAAACAAAGGGAGGAATCTTGCAACTAAATTTTTAAAGTAGATATCTTCAACTGATTGAGCTGAAATTTTGTGTACACGTTAAGTTTGAATGACAATGCATAGTTAGCTGTATGACGTCATTCTAAATCCAACATGGCGGAACACCTAAGATGGCGGTCTAGTTTTAATGCACTCCTACAATATAGGTATCAAATAAAAGGGCTTGCTGAGAATAACTTAAAAAAAAACTCGTTTTTTTAAAAGTTCTTATTACAAGTTTTTTAAATCAGTACATTTATTAATGGACTTCAAATTTTCTTAATATTATAATAATATATACAAAGGCTAACATAGAGTATAATTGAATTAAATAGGTAATATATATGAATAGAACCTCTGTCACAGTTACGTCCTCAAGCAACGGTAAAAAGAACTTAGTGTAATCAAAATTTATAAAATGAATACTGCAAATTAGTTAATGAATCCACATACAACTGTAGATTTAGTGGAATGCTAATCGCTTTAAGGCCAATCGTTCCAATCGTTCGATAAAATGCACAACATTAATTATTAAATAGGAAATACATATTCTTATAGAACAAATTTGTATTCTAACTAAATAGTATAGTGTTCATAATTGCTTGGATATTGACGAAAATAAACAATTTATTAAAACAAAACAAAAAAAAAACACTATGAATATGTATAGGAACTTACAAAACATTCGATTTAATTTTAATCATTATTTTATTATTATTTTTGACGAGCCTGTTGGTCTAGTGGTTAGTGACCCTGACTGCTAAGCCGGAGGTTGTGGGTTCGTTTCCCACCCAGGACAAATATTGTGTGATGAGCACGGTCATTTGTTCTGTGAGTGGGTGCAATTTATCTATAATATGTATGTATTTAGAAATATTTAAGTAGATGTAAATTTAGATGTAGACGTTAGCGTTGTGTGAATGTGGTAGAATATTATTATTTAGATATTTAAGTTATTATTTTAAAATATTTAAGTATGTTTATCAGCAGTCTGGTAACCATAGCACAGGCTCTGTCTAGTTTGGGATCAGACAGCCGTATGTGAGATGTGTAAAGTTTTTTTTTTCTTTTTTTTTTTATTTGCGATAAAACTGGGTTATACAAAAAGAAAAACAGGTGGAAAAGATACAGCTAAGTTCACCATATTAAGCCGAATGTCACAGCATGCAAAGATTAACAACAATTAAATAATAGCCATTAATTAAAACAAAGTAATATCCAGTAGTGTCATTGTTCTAAATTATTATTACTATTATTCTAGTTCTATTATTTTATTATCTATTATTTATTTTGTTATTTCTAGTTATTATTACTATTATTTCTAGTTCTATTATTTTATTGTCTATTATTTATTTTGTTATTTCTAGTTATTATTACTATTATGTCTAGTTCTATTATTTTATTGTCTTTTATTTATTTTGTTATTTCTAGTTATTATTACTATTATTTCTAGTTCTATTATTTTATTGTCTATTATTTATTTTGTTATTTCTAGTTATTATTACTATTATTTCCATTATTCACAAAGTCTTTGTAATTTAAAGTTTACCATAATGTGAAAGTATAATACACCTGTCTATCTGTTTATTACACCCCCTAATAATAATAATATAATAATAATATTGTACCACATTCACACAACGCCATCTAGTCCCAAACTAAGCAGAGCTTGTACTATGGGTACTACGAGTAGACAACATTTATACATATACACTTTTTTTTTTGTAAATACATACATATTATACATAGTATTGAACTATTCATCAGATCATTATCAACTTCGTAGTAAGTATAACTATGCGCTTTGCAGATATAGTATTTTTAGGGAAGGATGCAGTATTACTGCATATAATATATGCAGTAGTACTAGGACAAGATTTCTACTGAGTAAACTTGTTTAATGAAATAGAAACTCTTGTACTCAATAAATAAAGTGCAATTTAGGTCGCACAACGTTAATCACGTGTAGTTACACCAAGGCAGAAGGTGTCTTGCTTTCGCAAAATAAACGTGTTCGAGCCCTTTCACATGCAAGATCCTTGTTTAACGATGTTTCGTTCACTCGACTCATTTTAATCAGAAACACTCTTATTAAGGTCACAAAAAAAATTCATACTAGAAATAATTTCTGTAAAGTTGCTTTTTGCCTGACTGCAGGGGAAGGGTAATGTTTTTCGAGTGTTTGTATATATGTATGTAGGTATGTTTATTTTATTGATTTATTTAGAGATATTTAATGGGTTTTGGTGTTTTTAATAATCTTTAATAATGAGAGTGACACTAGGAATATGAAAGTAGTACAATATAATATAATAATAATATATCTCATTCATGGCCGTGTGATCCCAAACTAGGCAGAGCCTGTACTATGTTAACCAAACTGCTGATAAGCATACTTAAATATTTATAAATAATAATATTCTACCACATTCACACACCGCCAACGTCAAGGGTACTAGTCTGAAATGCACTTTTTTATTCACAAAAGTAAAAAAAAAAGCTTTTTTACGTACATATTACACATAGAAACACATTATACCTGGGATAATTATACCTAAGTAAATAGTTGTCCTGGGTGCGAATCGAACCCACGACCTGCAACTTACCAGTCAGGGTTAAAAACCACTATGTTGCTTATATGGATGGACTAGGTACAACACATAGGTTTTAGTCGGTTCTGACACACTGTCTCATCTCAAACCCCGAGCGGCTCAAATAATAATAATAATATTGTACCTTGAACGGCTGGCTATCCCTTGGATTGATAATTGTTCTTTGAGTAGACATAAATTGATAACGGCTATGAGGTTACGCTCTGGACACATCCCATCCAGAAAGTTCACCTTTTTAATGGTTTTATCATCTACGCCAAATTGTGAAATCTGTGGTGTGGTACAGGACGTAGAAGATGTTTTGATGGAATGTGTTCGAAACCAACAACTGAGAGAACGCCTGCTTAATGATAAGTTGATGAACATTGGAAGATGCAACAGCATCCTGGCCAGTCCTTTGACAGATACAGCTAAGGATATTTATAATTTGTATTTTCAATATTTAAGTTAAGTTTAAAACAAAAAAATGCCTATGATGGAGCTACGTAGTCATCATTGTGGCTAATCTCCGTAAATAAAGACACAAAAAAAAAAATTGTACCACATTCACACAACGCCATCTAGTCCCAAACGCAAATGCAATTCAATACCGGATGGCGTAGTGGTTTGTGTAACGGACTGCTATTCCAAAGGTCGCGGTTTCATTTCCCGCTCAAGTCAAACATTTGTGTACACGAACAATTTAATGTTTGATTTGGTCAGGGTGTTTCTATGTAGAATATGTATGTATTTATATAAAAAAGTATATATGTATTTATAACACTTGTCTAGTACCCATAGTAAGTGGCGTTGTGTAAATGTGAAAAAAAAAACTTAAAAATTACCAACCGATTTTAATGTTATTTTTTTGTTTATTTTTTATTTTATTTTAAAAAAGACAACAACATTAGGAATGTATTCTGTGTCGCTGGGAACTTTACAAACATACATGAAACGGAACGTTTAAAGACACAGAAAAATAATTTGTGGATCAAAAGTGTCGTCCCATGTGGGGATCGAACCCACAACACTCGGCGTAGTAGAAAGCGGCGTGGCGACCGCTTAAACCACTACGCCATCCATGCAGTATTTCCATCTAGCCAACGTCACTCTTATTATTAAGATGAAGCTAAAGATACCCTTTTTTTTTCCGTGCGGAAATCCCCTCGGATACCACCTGTCGGTGGCATGTCGGACTCGAACCGACTAAAACCGCACGCCGTCTCGGGTACTAATAGCCGGGGAACCAGGTATACCCTAGAAAGGAAATCCCTGGTGAGCTAAAAGATACCCTAAAACGGAAAAATGCATCAAGTCGTTTACGCTGCATGTGCCAAAGAAATACATAACGACTGTCCTGTTGGTTTAGTGGTTAGTGACCCTGACTGCTACGCCAGAGCTCAAGGGTTCGATTCTCAACCAGGACGAATAATTGTGTGATGAGCACGGTCATTTGTTCTGTGTCTGGGTGTACCTTATCTATAATATGTATGTATTTAGAAATATATACCTAGTTACCATAGCACAGACTCTGCCTAGTTTGGGATCAAACGGCCGCGTGTGAGATGTGTGAAAATATTATTATACACACACACATCTACATACATTTTTATCATATAAATAAATCGATATTTAATAATTCAGGAAGGAATCTATAATTAATTAATACAAAACGTGTTTGGCGTTTACGAAATCCTAATAAAATCCACATTGAGATCCGTTTACGTCGCTATTTTTGAGAGCTAAAAATTTCGTGTATACGGTCACATAAGGCAGGTGTCGTTTGAAAACTGAACTTGTTTTTTTTATTTGTAATACCTGTTTTGGAACACGAGTTCATCGAATCCGAGTTTCAAGTTTCTTTGTGATGAATATTTACTTTTTATTTATATATGTATTATTATTAGTGTAAGTTTTATCACAGCTACACAGGAAACCGGTGTTAAACAATTTTTTGGTTACTTCGCAAAGAGGAAGCGCATTGACCTTGCCTGACTCCAAGCTCCTCCTAAACCTGATTCCAGGAGCAAAGCACTTATGACTCTTGAGTTTCGGAGTCCATGGGCGGCGGTACTCAGTTACCATCAGGTGATCTGTCTGTTCGTTTCCCTCTTATACCATAAAAAACACCATGACGTATTGAATAAAAAGTTAAGCAGTGGTTATAATTGGCGGCCTTACCGCAGTGTGCGATCTCTAAAAGGTTTTAGATCGACTTACTGTGTAGTAAAAAATTTTAACAATTCTTTTTTCATTCAATAAGTTGACTTGAATTTTAACAGAGTAAATCGATTAAAGTGGCGTGCAGTGGGAGAGGATATGTCCAGTGGTTAACTGCGATAGGCTGATGATGATGATAGTTCAGAATACCCAGAAATCTTATAGATGTTAGAAGACAAAATAATACGGATCAATATCAAATAAAATATTAATAAGGCAACAGAAGAAACTAAAGAAAGGAAGTTGCAAATGAACTAAAACATTACTTTCGAACATAAGAAAAAGAAAACTCGTATATTACGCATCTACTTAGTACTACTTTTTTTTAACAGTTAATTTGAAAAAGTTATTAGTTTTAATTATTAAAAATTAAATACAAACTTGTTTCTGGCGGTTTCACATCATTCGCAACCATTCCGACTTGTGTCGCCATTTTGTTTCAAACTAAACACTAATTCACAATCAAAACTGCATAAAACAACACTAATTCAATCAGAAAAACAATAGTTCTACATTTAAAATTTTGAATGTCGAACGGCGCGCTCTCAACAGACGTACTGCGCGCGCAATCCTTGTAGATCGACTCGATCGGAACACTTGAAGTAAAGGTTTGTTGGCGTCAATGACAGGATGGTAAAACAGAGCGTAGTTTTGTTTTATTTATTTAAATTTTTAAATTCTATGACTTCATTAATACTACAAATCATCTGGTAGTCGAATGTTGACCGGTTTGAATGTTTAATTTTATTTCACTGACCCGTGTAACTAATACAATAAATATTATTATTATTTTCTATACTAATATTATAAAGCTGAAGAGTTTGTTTGTTTGTTTGAACGCGCTAATCTCAGGAACTACTGGTCCGATTTGAAAAATTCTTTGAGTGTTAGATAGCCCATTTATCGAGGAAGGCTATAGGCTATATATCATCACGCTAAGACCAATAGGAGCGGAGCACCAATGAAGAATGTTTCAAAAACGGAGTAAATTTATTACTATTGAGAGACGCAGACGAAGTTGCGCGGGTCAGCTAGTTGTGTATATTGGGTAGTAGTAATTGTATAGGTCATTGTATGTCAGGGCAGTTCAAAATATATTCTGGTTTCTATAGCAATATGTAATCGTTCTTACATCATTTTTAACTAGCAAATACTATTTAATAGTTTTAGTTTTTTGCATTTCTACACACATCTATGTATATATATATATATATAAGTCGTGTTAGTTAGACCGTTTGTAACTCAAGAACGGCTGGACCAATTTATATGATTTTTCGTTTTTAGATTTGTCTTCGCCTGGAATAGGCTGATAAGTATTAATATATTCATCAATATATAAAAAATATCATTAGAATAAAATCTGTCAAAACATCAGTCTAGCCGTTCATTTGTTATAAATCGTATAACATAACGCAACTGACAAGTCAGCTAGTAATATATAAACATTAAAACAAAAAAACAGTAAATAACAATATGTTTGGAATGTTTTTGTTACATTGTTCCTCTTAAATATTAACAAATTTTAAGATTTAACTATAGAGATATTGCCTGCTCAAAAGGCCGGCAACGCGTTTGTGACTTACCGGCCTTTTATTAAGGAGTAAGCTCATTTCTTGAAGGTTTGAAGGTCGTATCGGTCCGGAAATATCGCAGACGATAACCCGTTCCATATATTGGTTCTACAAGTACGGGGCAAAAAGTGTTTCGAAAAGCGCACAGTAGTGGAGCGCCAACTATCCAGGTCATGAGGATAAAAAATTTAACGTGTGGAACGATGGCGGAAATTTGCGGTTGGTATTAGTCCGAACAATTCCTCGGCGCACTCTCCATGCGATAGAGAAGGTAGAGTGAAGCTACATCTCTATGTAACGCCAAGGGAGCGAGCCGATCGGCGATTTTTGGGTTATCGTTGATTTGATTTAGAAATTTCAAATCCTTACATATTATTTTTTAAAATTTAACAAAAAAAACCGACTTCAATGGTTTTCTCATGGATTTCATGGTCAGAACTAGACCAAATTGAAATGGGACCACACGGGAAGCACCAGCTTTCAAATAAAAAAAGAATCATCAAAATCGGTTCACCCAGTCGAAAGTTATGAGGTAACAAACATAAAAAAAAAAAAATACAGTCGAATTGAGAACCTCCTCCTTTTTTGAAGTCGGTTAAAAATGAAGTCTCTCGGCCGCGTCTGTCTGTCTGTCTGTGTGAACGCGATAAACTGAGAACCTACCGAACGGATTTTTGTACGGTTTTCACCAATAGACAATGTGATTTCTGTGTAAGGTTAAGGTGTATAAATCATTATGTTTTTACGTAAATTGACTAAAATAAAACGACTATCGTTGAAGAGGTCACAAAAAAAGCTTACTGGGAGCTTTACTCACTCAACCAGCAGTGATACATTAGTGTAAGATACAAAAAAATAGAATATCCTAAGTACATTTAACTAACTTTTTAATATTAACAAAAAGGATCACGGTTACTGAAACCCACGTGGGCGAAGATGCGGGCGGAGGCTAGTCAAATATAATTAGAATAAATTAATAAAAATGAATGATAACCTGTACTGTGATATGTGACCTTTATTATACCCTTTTTAATAATAACGGAGCCAGCCAGCCAGGATCGTACACCAACAGCTTGCCCTTAAATACCATCTTGTGAATCTAGAGGTGCCATACTACAGGTATGTGCCCGACCCAGTTGTCGAGAATGGTCGGGCCACGTTGTATTGGGATCGATCTATTATCACAGACAGCACTACTATTGCCAATAAGCCAGATATTGTGCTGATAGATCGATTAGAGCGCCGCGCAATGATTGTTGATTTCGCCGTTCCTCATGACGAGAATCTCGTGAAAGTTGAAAAAGAAAAACAAATCAAATATTTGGATTTATCTCACGAGATTGTCGATATGTGGAATGTTGATTCAGTGATCATTGTTCCGATAGTCGTGTCTGCTCACGGATTGATAGCTAAGAGCCTCGACCAACACCTTAAGAGGCTCACGTTGTACGGCTGGATCAAGGGTCTGATGCAGAAGGCAGTCCTCCTTGACACGGCTCGTATAGTGAGTAGGTTCCTATCTTTGGAGTTCTAACTGTCTGTGTCTTGGTCTCTGTACCCAATGTCGGTGGTCTACTATTTTTTATATTTTTAAATATGTATTTTATAAAGTGCATGTTTAAAAATGTAAGTAATATGTATATAAAGTAAATAAAGAGAATAATAATAATAATTTCACACATCTCACACACGGCTGTCTGATCCCAATAATTTGTCCTGCGTGGAAATTGAACCCACGACCTCTGGCATAGCAGTTATGGTCTCTAACCACTAGACCAACAGGCCCGTCTAAAGGCTTGCTTTTAACGAATGTAATATTATTACACAATTTTAATAATATACAATTTTATTTTTGTACGACACCAATAACCGATTTTATACATAAATTAGCGAACATAATTATGTGTGATTATTTTCTCAACCAATGTGTATAACTATATAGTTGGCCAGCACAAAATGCTTTAAACGCGAATATCAAGGCTGCTTGATATCCGCGTTTATTAAAATACAAACTTATTCACTCATCATCAACAGCCCTTAACGGTTCACTGCTGGACATAGGTCTCTCCTTACAATGGAGGTTTTGGCCTACTTTACCACGCTGGCCAGACGGGTTGCTATAGGGTTTGTTTTAAGTTTTACTTTTCTTTCCAATGCTGTTGTCCTGCGTGGTTTGCTCCCTTAGTCGGCGCTTACGACACCCACGGGATGAATAGGGATGGTTACACTCTGTATTCTCAATCCGTCACCACACGCTACTGACTGATTTATAAATTATTCTAAACAATATTCAGCTACATAAATATTACATTCACTGTTATAATGTCATATTATTGTCTATAAGGAATGTATGTTGATTATGTGTTTTGGTCTGACCTTGACGCGGTTGTTTGATCGCTGTTGCTTGGTTAATGCGCAATCAGCTCCACAACACATAACTTCACGCAAAAATTGATTGGATTTACAATTGAATTGTGTGATATCATCATACAATTCAAGGTTATTGGGTGGTCAGGAGCGCCTGAGTTGATCGTGTCACATCGAATCGGGTCAAAACGATTCGTGTGAATGTTAACAAGTCGATGTTGAATTTTAGTCCGCTTGCAAGCGGAGTATCGAATGAATGCTTTTGATTTTTGCTACGTTGTCTTAGTTCACTAGATACATTTACAGTACAGTTTCCATTTTTACGAATATATTTTATAGAGGCAATTTTTTACAATCGTAAACCCAGTATAGAAAATAAAATCACAGAAAAATTGGCAATTTAGTTGTGAATGCAAAAACTGTTTATTTTACGAATTCGGAAATTCAATTACACCTTCTACTGATACTACCTATCTCCTCAAAATATTTGGGTCCATTCTAAGTATGCCTGGAAGAGATTGAGTATCTGACATAATGTACAAATAATAGTGCTCTTGTAAAGATGTTGTACATGGACACCTGTAACTCAAAAGTTATAAGTACGTTGAATTCCTATAAACTCTTCACCCCCCCCCCCTCCCTCCCTCCTGTCAGGAAATAGGAGGAATAAGATATGGGGTTCCAGTAACCCTACTCACTCGGTGGAAATCATCTAAAGAATTGTAGACATTGGACAAAATCACAGTGAACTGTAATTTATCATTCGATTTTTGCGTGCGTAAGTTATGGTTGCTAGGTAGGCAGGTTAGACGCTATGTAACAGTAAATGTAGTCTTTTTAAATCATTATTTAGGGAATAGTATCTATATATAATAATTGCTAATTTACTGTTAAATAGGCGAAATATTAAATAGGCCAATTCATCCCGTGGGTGTCGTAAGAGCCGACTAAGGGAGCAAACTAAGCAGGACAACAGCACTGCAAAAAGAAGGAAAACTTGAAACAAACCCTTTTTTTTTTTTTTTTTTTTTTTTTTAACGTGTGGAAATCCCCTCGGACCGTCACCCCTCCGGGGTTTGCGGCGGGGTGGTGTCTCGGACTCGGACCGACTAAAACCACACGGTGTGCCACTCTGCGCCTGTAACAGGAGGGATCCGGGAACAGCTGTTGTTAAGACATCCGGACCCCTCCTAGCGCCAGCCCGCTCCTGGTGCGGGCTCCGTCTCAATTTTTTTTCCTCTCTTTAGGCGACGTCCGGCACACGCGGACGCCGCCCCCTCGCGGCTGGCCAAACTAATGCGGGTGGAGGGGAAACCCCCCCCGTCCACCCGCGGTTACACTCAGGGCGGCATGAGGCTGTGATAGGCGGGCCTCCGCCGCCCGGTTCGCCGGCGGCGGATCGGGTCCGAGTGGAGGTCGTCCTCCCGGGCCCTCTCCGCCGCCTCCTTCCGGGAGATTACTACCTCGCAAAAGGTTGCGACCGCGGTAAAACAAC